GCAGTTAAGAGCACAGACTGCTCTTGCAGAGGACCTGGGTTCGATTCCCAGCACCCACATACCAGCTATGAGCCATCCTTAACTCCATTTCTAGGGGAATTCAACCTCCTCTTCTGACCTCCATGGGCCTTGCATAACACTGGTATATTTACATACATGCAGGCAAAACACTCATACACATAAAATTAAATAAAATCCTTTTTTAATCTAAAAAAAAAAAACAAGGGCTGGCAATGTAGCTTAGTGTTAGGGGACTTATCTAGCATGTGCAAGGCTTGAGTTAGATTCCCAGAACCACACACATGTGCACACAGAAAAGCTGGGCACCATGCCACATCTATAATCACAGTACTTCATAGGCAGAATGATGAGTTCAAGGCCAGCCTGGGCTATATAGCAAGACCTTATGACAAAAACAAACAAAAACAACAAGAGGTAAAGACTGCTTTGCTCTCCCCCCGCACCCCCAAATGAGAAGGAATGGCCTAAGTGAAGAGATCCCTTCTGGCCCCTGCTGCTCCCTCAGCTCCTAGAACAATAATCACAGGACCTCAAGAGTAAAACTCCTTCCTTGGAGATGTAAACGTCTACCCCCTCCTCTTTTGGCTCCAGTGACAAAACTGCACCAAAGTTCAGCCTGGGAAACCAATAGATTTATTGGACTTACAAGTGTGAGTGGTCCCTGCTAAGGCCATACAGAAAAGTCTTCTGCTAGCATGGATGATGGCTTCCCTGTAGCCACATAAATGGAGCCCCTCACCCTAGTCTTCCCCAGCCTATATACTTTATAGCCTTTACCCAAGTGGCAATTAGTGTAGAATTGCCCACGATGGGTTGGGAGGAGTGCCTGGATGCTCTGGCGAGGGTCCCCCTTCCCTGTACCTCCTTCTATGAGCCCAGCTGTGATGATCTTTTGTAAGCAGACACAGCTGAACTGAAGATGGCTGTTTGCTCAGAGGACAGTCCACATATGTGGAATTAAGTAGACTTGGACTATTTGAGCTGAGAGATCAGACTACTGGGTTTTGCTTTTTGGAGCTAAACTCTCTCACTATATAGCCCAGACTAGTTCCTTGGTCTTACTGCTCCCTCAGCCCCTAGAATGAACATAGAGTAGGAGATGGAAAAACCTGGAGCCATTATAATAGGAGAGAAAAACAAAATTCAGTTTCTGTTTGTATTTGGGGAGGGGGGCTCAGGCAGGGGAAGGCCTAAGGTGATATAGTTCACAACATGGAGAATGGAGGACTGGGGCCAAGTCCAGGCTGAAAGGATTTCCAGGTTTGTCTGATGCATTTTAGGAACACTGAGGATAGAGTGGGGAGTAAGGGAGCACCAAAGGATCAGGGACAGAGTAATAGAAATACCAGGAACAGAGGGCACTGACTTATCCCATGCACTGTTTCCAACACTTTCTCTGACTCGACTCTCAAAATTCTGAGGTATGTATGACTCCATGAACCCATGCCACCAGTGCCTAAAAGACCCACTGGACAATGTAGGAAACTGATGCCGAGAGATGAAGAACCTAGCCAGTCATTGCTCCTAAATAGTGGAGCTGGGTCTTGCTCATTCCTAACTGCACTGTATTTTACCCTACTTAGTCTCACATCCAGTACCAGCCTCTTCAGACCTATAATTTTCTGGGGCGGGGCAAGACCCAAGGATGTCTGTCCATGTCTGGAACTGAGGGTAAGAGTGAGACTAACTAGGTTCACATGGAGAGCTGACCAGAGTAAAATGCCAGTGTTCCTTAGGAGAGTCATTTTCCTATCTGCTTCCTGGCTCTCCCTCATAGAGGAGAGGTGGAGGTGCCAGGGACTAGTTCTTCAAGCTAACACCATATGTCCTACATCATACCCCAGTTGAGCACTAGTCACATGGCCGAGGCTGAAGCAGGGTGGTCATGTCTTGTCTAGAGCAGGGAGCCAGGGGAAAATTTGTTCTTAAGGGCTGGGCCTATAGTTCAAAGGTAGAACACTTGCCTAGCATGTATGAGGCCCCAGGTCTGATCTCCAGCACTACAGAAACCAACCAAACAAAATTCATCTAGAAGCCTGAAAACTGGGGTCCAAACAGTAGAGTGTGAAACACTAGTTGATGTACCTAGATTGAAGCCAGGGCTCTTGCCCCGTTCTAGTCCCCATTCAGAAGTACACTTGAAAGCACAAGCCTGTAATCCCAGCATCTGGGAAGTGGACTAAAGAGGATCAGTCCAAGGTTATCTTCAGCTATACACTGAGTTCAAAGCCAGTCTGAGCTACAAGATCCTGTCCCACATAACAAAAGACCCTGTACTTCGATGTGGGCATCAGAACTGGAATGCAGAAGTGTAGCCTAAGAGTTCTTGCAGTTGGAAGGGAACTACGTGTGAGGCCGAGGGAAATGAAAGACCTGCCCGAGACCACATGGCTAAGTTAGAGGCAGAACTGGGCTGGTGACCAAGCCTCTTCTACACCCTAGGGCTCTTTCACCTTGGTCCCCTATCAGCAGACTGATAAAAGCTACTCCTACTCTGAGGAAGTATGTGCCAGCCCAGGACACAAGTTATACTTAAAGGGCTGTGGATGCTGAGTTCCAACCTCCACTTCAGAACCCAGATGGTCATGCTCTAGTACAACATGCATCTTAACAGCCCTCTCTAACAAGACTTAGTGACTGTACTGGTCTAAGAAGTCAGGGCCTGCATGTTGGGTTGGACTTCATCTCTGCTTGTTGGACAACTAGACAAACCCCCTTATCCACTGGAATCTACTAGTTCATCAGTCACAGGAAATTCTTCTCTGAGAGGCCCCAAAATCTTATATGCATTTTGGCTTCTAACAGTAGAAAACAACTGATTATTTTTATAAAGCAGCAGCCTGGAAACAGGCTAGGTGGCACATGCCTATAATCCCAGTACTTGGGAGGTGGAGGCAGAAGGATCAAGAATTCAAGGTCATCCTTAAGAACAAATCAAGTTTGAGGCCAACCAGGAGGAAGAAAACAAAAGAGCCAGGTGTGGTGGCGCCTGCCTTTAATCCCAGCACTCCAGAGGTAAATCTGTGAGTTCAAGGCCAGACTGGTCTACTAAGTGAGTTCCAGGCCAGCTAGGGCTACAGAGAGAAGGAAGACCCTGTCTCAAAAAGACCAAAAAAAAAAAGGCATGGGGGTGGTGTGTGTATGGGGGAACCTGGCTTAAAACATACTCGGTGGTAAGGCTTGTCTAGCATGTGAGAGGGACAGAGTGACCCATTTGGCTACAAAGCAAGTGAACATGCTGAGAAACACGAGCTCCTCCAGACTGCTCTGGTTCCAGGTCAGTGTCTGCACTGGTCCCCCCAGCTCAAATTCTTAGCACCTGGGGGTGGAGTTTGAGGAATGCTGCTGACCCTAGTTCCTGCCCCTGTACAGATAACCTGTGCAGGGTTATCTCTACAAGTGTTCCTTCCCACAGTCCTGGGGAACAACTCTACTCAGAGGAAGGGCTAGCCAATTCTTCAGGCTACACACTATAGCCTACATGACTCCAAAGGGTGAAGTTACAACAAAATGCAGGGAAAAGGGAAAAGCCTCTAAGACAGCTGTTTCCATTTTCCCTAGTCTGGCCCTGCAGAGTGCTGAGAGCTCCACTATCATCACCCAGGGGCTGAGCCACAGGTGGAGCCAAGAGGGAAGGTAAGACAGTGACCTGGAGATAGGGTTGAACTGAAAGGGAAAAGATGAAAAGTACAGTCAGCCTTTTTTCTTTCCATTCTCCTTTATTCCATAAACACCTAGTTACAAGTTGCACAAATCAAAAAATAAAGGCAGAGAAGGGTATAGGAAAGATTTCTTTTGTGACGTGTGGAGGTGGGAGAAGGGAGAAAGAGTTGGGAACCAGTCCACTCTCTCCACAGCCCAGACAGGACTATGGCACCTGCAGTGGGGGCTCTGAGGAAGAGGTGGGCAAGGGTCCAGGGGAGCTGAGGGATAGAGGTCCCTAACCCAGAGCTTGCCCCAAAAGACCCTTCAATGTGTGGCAGGGGCTCAAGGGGAAGATGAGGAGGCTTGGAGATGGAGCAGCAAATGAAAACTCAAGTTAGTGGATACAGGACAAGTGGAGTCATCATGTAAGGGGACAAATGACAGAAAAAGTAGGTCAAGGGGCAGTGAAAGGCTCTCCCTGAGACCCCCAGGGAGAGGTGGGGGTCAGCTTGCCTGTTAATTTAATATTAAATTGGGGATGGAAGTTGGAAAGGAAGTTATTTCAAGGGATGATGTCTCAGCCTCTCAGCCTGTACCTAGAAGAGAAAGAAAGATGAGCACATGTCAGAAGAAACAGTACAAAAGTCAGGGTTGGGGTATTCTTCTAGTCACCCCAGGAGGAGCCGTCTCTTTCCATGACAGTTAAAAGTATTAAGGTGCTGGGAACAGGCAGGCACACAGGTCTACTGTGCAGCCCCTTGGTTCTGTCACCATTCCTCCCTTTCAGGGACTTACAAGAGAGGCTGAGAGCTTAGGACCTTCACCAGTCATAGCGACGGGACTGTCGAGAGGGGGAGTCCTCAGGTCCCTGGATAGCCAGGCGGGGAGGCCCCTCGGCCCTCCGACCGCCACCCACGGATGCCTCATGCCGTCGAAATTCCAGAGGGCGCTGCTGCCGGAATCGGGACGTCTCCCTCCGCCACTCATCATCAAATGCTGCTGCTTCGCCTAGGAAGACAGAGCGGACACGGAGGGGCCAAAAGCCATAATCTCCTCATATCAGAAACCAAGGGCAAGGTTGAGATGCGAGTGAGGATGGAGGGCAGACGGACATTTTGGCTTCAACATAACCATGTTTCTGGATAGCACCTGCAGGTCTAAGGCATGACTACAGGAGAAAGACAGGAGTCACACACACCATGAGAGTTTAATAAAGCCATTCATCGGAGAAAGACAAAGGGAGAAGAAAAAAATAATACACAAAACTGATTCAGAATGGGGAGGGTAGGTACACCATCAACACTTAACTTCAATGACAAGATTTGCCTTCCCCTTTTAAGGATGCAGGCAACACCTGACTCAGCCCTGAACATAGGGCTCATCACATCAACTTTGGCTAAGAGATACCTATGGGGCAGGAAAGAAAGCTCTGCTCTAGCTCATAGGAACTAGGCCAGGAAGCAGGAAGAAAGACTCACTTTCATCCAGGTTGATGTAGTCCTGCCGTTCCTCCTGGTCCCCTGTGCGGTGGTTTCGGGAGCGCTGGAGGATGTGAGCCCTGTCCCGGATGTGATGCCCAATGGACATCTGTTCTAGCCCACTGTCTGAGTCCCGGACAGTCCTCCGTGTCTCTCGGATCTGGGATGAAGTGAACATAGCACATTCCATTCTCCCAAAGCCCTGGCTATATACATCACCCGGGATGAACACACCACCACCAACCCACTCCTGAAGAAAGAAGTCAGGATTTCTGTAGGTGCCATTTGATACTGCCTCTGTGACAGGAGAGCTTCTTACTCACCCCCCCTGGGGCAGAGCGCATCTCAGATGTCTCCTGGTAAACCTTGGGGGCGCCATCCCCAGTATTGGAGTAGGAGATGACAGTAGAGGAAGAAAAGGTCTGGCAGTTGCCTCCAGCTGTCATGTGTTCCTGAGGAGGAAAGGTGAGGACTGGCTGAATGAGGAGGGGTCTACTCTGCAGGGAGGGGGCCCTCTTCGGCAGCCTGCTCTTGCCCACATCCTTCTTACAAAATATGAGAAAGGAGAAAACATCATTATTCCCCAAATTCCTCTCACCCCAACACTGAACACACTTAATTATACACAGGTATGAGAGCAGATCTGGTGCTCCTGGCTCGATGACTTCAGGCAACCCAGCCTCTTCACTAGCACACTCCTCACCCTCCCTCCTGCCTCACAGGATGCCAGGTGCTGCTAGCTGCCACTGAGAACAAGGACAGGGAAGAAGGAGGAGTAAGAGGCTCACCATGTTCCCAATCATGTCATTCATCATTCCAAACATGTCCATGAAGCCACCAGACTAAGGAGAGATGGAAAACAGAGGTGATGCTGTTGAGGCACTCCGCCTGACTACACATCCCTTTCCTCTTCCTATACATCTAGCCAGAACACTCACTTATCTCCTTCACAAACTGCCAGCCCCCTCCCTCAGCCTCTGGGGCTGCTCTGAGATCCAACAGTCCTTTTCCCAACTGCTTTATTTCCCCCATCTTTACAGAAGTGAGCCAAAGTTAATGGATAATGACCTCTAAAGACGAAGGGTATGACAAGTGTCCTGACTTCCATTTCTCTGGCCTTTCAGATGCACCTCTCTCCTTAAAAGAACTGCTATACAATTATGTTTTCCCAACGGGTATGGACTTCTAGGAGTCAGCAGGATCTAGCTCACAGGACTCCTAACACCCAATGGGCTCTGAGCTTCATGAACTATCCAAAGAGAAAATTCTGAGGCCACCCATTAGGCAGATTTGGAGTTAACATCTAAGGTTCCACCTGCCCGAGACAGAAGGAAACCAAAGATAGAGACTCACCATTCCCAACATCCCAAAGGGAGAAACAGCCCCGGCCTGCATGAACACACAAGGCATAGAAGTTAGAGACTACAATCTATCACCTTGCAATCTCAAATGAGGGCCATGGCCTCCATTTGTTTCCCCACCTCCTCCACTCAAAAGGGGTCACAAAACCTTTTTCCAGACCCCTGCCCCAATTCTTAGGTCATTTCCTTTTCACTAACCACCCTGGGTCTCAGGTATGTTCCAACTATTACCTGCATCCTGCGGCTGGTGGGCCTAGTTGCTGGCATGTTGCCATCTGTGATGCTAAGGAAGGGGCTGTATCCAAAGCCACCTGACAACATGCGGCTCATATGCTGCCGGTGAATGGCGAAGGGGTCCCTGCAGAGGGAGCAAACAGAATGGATGACAGAAGGGCCAAGCTGTCAAACCCCAGCCCTCCCTGCCTCCCTAAAATATCAGTCCAGGGTGCAACACATTGGCACAGACGCCAACTTCCCTCTAAGTGAGAGCTGCAGCTGAGTATCCAGCCAGTTCCAACCAGTTCCAGCCAGGGGAACCCGGAGGTCTATGGGAAGTGCTGAGACCTGAGGCGGAGTGGGATGAGTTCTCTAGCATGAGGGGGAGGGAATTCTCACATCAGGAACATGGGATCCTCCGGCTCCACGTCCCTCATGAAGCGGAACATCGTGATCTCTGCTCCAGGGGGCTCCACGCTGTGAAAACACCGAGGCTGAGTTACTAACAGGCGGCCAGGCTTTTGCACATCGGCTCGGTATACCTACACTCAGAGCACCGTCTCTTGCACATACTATCACTGACGCCCCCCCCACCAACTCCAGGGATACCCTTCTCCAGGTGATCCACATAACCCTTTAGACAACTAGGGCCACGGTATTTTTTCCAAGCCTCTCAGTGCACCACCACCCCCCCCCCCCCCCCCCACCCCCCCCCCCACCCCCCCCACACCCCCACAGCGCCTCACCCCACCCGTTTTTTTTCTCAGTGCCCCCCCCCCCCCCCCCCCGCCAACCCGCCCGCCATCCTCTTCCCCAAGCTCCGGCCAGCTCCTCCCCCGACGCCAGTCTCGCAGAGAATCCCGAGTGGCTGCCCGCAGCCCCATTAATGACCCTAACTACCCCGCCCTCTGCTGGCACCGGCCGCTGCCAGGCCTCCCCGGGGCGGGCCTCGCTGCCCACCCGGCCGGTCCACGGCAGCCTCGGCCCCTGCCTCCCACCGGGCGAGCGGGAGGAGGAGGAGGTCCGTTCCCCCGCTGCCCACATGCCGGGCTCGCAGCCGCGGCAGCCGCGGGCCCGCTCCCGCCCGGCCGCCAGTCTGCTCCAGCCTCACCGGTCCCCGACTCAGCGGCCCATCCGGCCGGTTTCGCTTCTCAGGGCGCTGCAGGAGCAGGGTCACGGCCCGGGACGCTTGGATTGGTCAGGGCAGGAGCTTCACGACCTCCCGCACCGCCTCCTCCCTCAGCTGCCACCTCCGCGTACCCCCCGCCCTCGGCTCGCGGAGCAGAACCTCAGCCAGGCCCGGACGGAAGTGACGTCACGGCGGGCCGTCCCCGGGCCGGCTCTCGGGAACCCGGCCCACCGGCGTGGGAGGGGGCGGTGCGGCGGCGGGAGCCCGGGAGGGCGGGTCCTCTGGGGACGAGGTCGGAGGCCCATTAATAAGTTGGATAGGGTTCTGGGGACAGGAAGAGGCTGTGTGGAGGTGGGGCAGGGCGCGGAGGGATCCGGAGAGACCGAGCTGGGGTGCTGGGGTGCTGTGGGGGCAGGGCGTGCAGCATCTGTCCCCGGGGGAGATGTGGAGGGGACACCCGGGGCCGGCGGTCAGATGGGACGCATCCCTCCGGGGACCTTTAAGCCCAATGTCTACGGGAGCAGCGTTAAGCCGGGAGGCAGGTCGGATTTCCACCCGGGAGCACTGGGGCCGGGTGTTCGGGAGTACCACTCAGGCAGGGCGGGGTCCTCGGAGTGACGCAGAGGAGGAGGTGACAAGTCTCAGCCCCAGATCTAGTGCTGGCTTGCAAAAGAAAACCCAGCTTGGGAGAGTGGCCGCCAGATGGCGATGCTGAGCCAGGGTGGAACGACGCCTTTGAGCCTTGGTGTTGGCTAGGCATCTGGACACTTTGCCGGTCTGTGAAGGGCCAGACTGGGCAAAAGCTTTAGTTCTTAAGTCTGTTCGATTTTTGTTGTCGTGTTTTGGTTTTGGTTTTGGTTTTGATATTGGTACTGGGGCTCCAATCCAAGGCCTCGTGCATGCCAAGCACGTACCACTGAGCTACATTCCAGCCCGAAATCTCCCTGGCTTTTCTCTTGTGTCTCCAAAAGCTTCCAGACCTGCACTGATCTTCCGTCTATGCGGGTTGGTAGGTCAGGGTTCCAAAGTTTAGAAGAAGAAAGGGGGGGAAGAGTTAAATTAAGCAGAATCAGCCAGGGGCGGAGCTAAAAATGGGCCCAAGAGACCTGCCTCCAAGGGCAGAGACTGATACTTTGACATACTAAATGGCTTGCACAAAATCTGGCGTTGCTGGCGACATGGGCCCGCCTCTTTGAGGTCAGGGCGTTTGAACTGTATTATGTAGACTTTGAACCACACACATCCAAACTCAAACTCTCCCAGGTTCTTTACTCTGGCCATTAGCCACATTGGTACTGTGTGGAACCTGACCCAAAGAGAGAGGTTTATTCTCCACAATTCCCTGTGGGTAAATGGTCTCTGGTTAGGTTACTCAGGAAAAGGTTGGGAGTAGAGATTCTGTTTCTTTTGATTATCACTAAAGTGGAAAAAAAATAGTGCTACCAGGTGGGACAAAGACATAACTAAGGTAAGCTGGCAGACTGGCAAAGTCAAATGAAAAGAATATAAGAAAAATTGGGGCTGGAGAGGTGGCTCAACGGTTAAGAGCATTGGCTGCTCTTGCAGAGGACCTGGGTTCAGTTCCCAGCATCCAATGGAGGCTAACAACCATCCATAACTCCAGTTACAGGAGATGTGACACCCTTTTCTGGCCTCTGCAGGCATTGCATACATGTGGTACAATTACGTATGTGCAGGCAAAACACTCATAGTCAGAAAATAAACATTGAGGCCAGCCTGGTCTATATAGTGAGTTCCAGGCCAGCTGGAGTTACAGGGAGACCTTGTCTCAAAAATTTATTTATTTATTTATTTATTTATTTATTTTATATGTATGAGTGTATTGCCTGCATGTATGTGAGTGCACCCGTAGAAGTCAGAAGACGGCTTCAGATTCCCCTTGGAACTGAAGTTAAGAATGGTTCGTAGCCACCATGTGGGTGCTGGGAATCGAACCCGGGTCCTCTGCAAGAGCAGTCAATGCTCGTAACCGCAGAGCCATCTCTCCAGCCCCTCAAAAAGATTTAAAATAAATAAATAAATACTTTTTTGTGTGTGTCATTTTGAGACAGGGTCTCCTTGTAGCCCTAGCTGACCTGGAACTCACTATGTAGACCAGGCTGGACTCGAACTCACAAAGATCCGCCTACCTCTGCCTCCCAAGTGCTGGGATTAAAGATGTACGCCACCACGCCCGGCAATAAATACTTTTTTAAAGAGAAGAACTTAAATTTTTTGCACTGATATTTCCAGGGATTTGAAAAACCTTTTTAGTTTCTCTGAATATCCTGTTCTGCCCCAAAGAAAAGGGGTTTGGTATTCCGTAAAGAGTTACCTCAGGGCTGGAGAGGTGGCTTCCCACTACTGCAGAGGACCTGAGTTTAGTTCCTGGTACCCATGCTGGGTGGCTCACAGCTACCTGTAACTCTGGCCCAAGAGGATTCGACAGCCACTTCTGGCCTCTGACAGCACCCACACATGTGACAGACACAAACACATAAATCTGAACATTAAAAAAAATGTTACCTTAGTGGTTGTTCTGACACCCAGATTTAAATAAGGAGATTCTATCCAACTTTTCTTTCTTTGAAACAGAGTCTCACTATGTATGTAACCCTAGCTGTCCTAGAACTCGATGTAGACCAGGCTAGCCTCAAACTCACAGATCTGCCTGCCTCTGCTTCCTTAGTGCTGGGATTAAAGGTGTGCTTTATCACACCTGGTCCAAAAATAAGCTCTTTATTGTCCAACCAATCAACAGATGTTTAATGAGGATTTTCGATGTCTTAGGTGCAGTGTACTAAACAGACAGTCCCTGCCAACTTGAGATACATAATCTTTTAGCCTCGTTGTTTGTGGGTCTTTTTGTTGTTGTTTGTTTTGAGACAGATTTTGTTATATAGCCTGGGCTGGGATCACAGCCCTATTTTTTCTTTATTTGGAGTAGTGCCACTATGTAGCCCAGGCTAACCTAGAACTAGTTGAAGTCCTGATTTACTTTTACTTCCCAAATGCTGGGATTATAGGTGTGCAATGTTATTCAGTGTTTTTGCATGATTTTATTTTTTTATTTTATGTGTATGAATGTATTGCCTGCATGTATGTAAGTGTACCTGTGTCATGCAATGCCTGAGGGGGTCAGAAGAAGGCATCAGATCCCCTGGAATCGGAGTTATGAACTGTTGTTAGCTGCCATGAGGGTGCTGGGAATTGAACCCAGATCCTCTACAAGAGCAGCCAGTGCTCTTAACCACTAAGCCGTCTCTCCAGCCCTGCATGAATTTATTTTTATTTAAACATTCTTTTATTATATTTATATGTGTGTATATATATGTTGGTCAAAAGGACAGCTTGGAGGAGTTGGTTCTTTCCATCCACCATGAGAGTTCCAGGGGTCAAACAGGTTGTCAGGCTTGGCAGCAAGTGCTTTTACATGCTGAGCCATCTCACTGGCTCTACATGATTTTAAATCAATGTATTTCCTCTACTAGGAATGTTTACAAGTACAACTTAACTTTTAACTATTAGACACAGCTTGAAATCTAAGATTTTTCCAGAGTAAAAAGTTCTAGAGGAGGGCTGGGGATCTAGCACAGTGACAGTGTACCTAGTACACACAATGCCCTGCGCAGTAGTCTTAGCAACACATACATGTACAAATTATTGAACAAGTCGGTAAACTCTTTTCATTATACCGGGAGACATCCCATATAGGCAGCGCTCTGCTTAATTGGAGGAATATAATTTGACTAGTAACTAGAAATTATGGCTGTCTTCCTCTCTTTTCCTCCCCTCCTTCCCTTTTTTTCCCTCTCTATTCCTCTCTCTGTTCTTTCTCTCTTTTTTGCCCAATCAGTTGTGAACAGGAGTTTGTCAGTCATTGGCATTTCCTGTAGATAATGTGATATAGGAGGGAAGGCAGGCCCTGCTAGGGGTGAGGTTAAAGTGGATAAGGACTGAATGTGGCTCCACCATTTGCTGCTCTTTTGGATGGAGTCAGAGTCAGGAAGTACTTGAGAGGGTAGAGCTAGGCCAGAGAAGGGGCCCTCTTTGGATGTGAGGTCACACATCTGGAACAAACCCAGGGCAGTTGGATATTTGAACAGAGGGTGGAGCACTGTTGTAAGTAGGAAAATTACAACAGCCTGTTTGTATTTAAATTGAAAGGCAGTTTATGTATTTCAGGAAAGTTTTTTTTTTTTTTTTTTTTTTTTTTTGAGCATCTACAATATGCCAGGTTTGGAGAGAGGAAAATTGAGGTATGAAGAGGTCTGAAGATACAAAAATCCTTAAATTGTGATTGAAAATCATAAGGAGCTTAAGCATAATGTCAGGTAATGTCAATCCTGAGTCTCAGAGTAGAGGCAGATCGGGGGTGTGAGGACAAGAAACCGCATTCAATAGGAAGGCTCTAGAAGAGAAAGAAAAAATGAAATCTAGTGTGGTCCCTTTGCGTGGATGACTAGGTGGTGGAAAGTACCATCGACTGAGACAGGAAACACAGGGAGCTTTCATTTGGATCATGTTAGTTTGAGGATTCCTGGGGCATCAGGAAGGGAAGAATAAAAGAAGTTAAAGTTGTGGCTTTGTTGTTCAAGAACAAAGCTGGTGCTAGACCCTTGAGAGTCACCAGTGTTTGAGTTCTATGGTTGGTGGTGAGGTATCATTGGACAGGCATGTATCGCTTAGGGTGACTGCAAAGACATCCTCTGGAAGGGTGCATTAACACTGTCATCATCTCCTCCTGGTTATGAAGTCTTTCCTCAGTCTTTTACCTTTGAGGCCAAATGTCTTTAGCTGACACTCCTTGTCCCTTTTTCCCTAGCCTTTCATTTTTACTTTACTAGTCCTCCGGATCAGCCTTGGTCTGTATAATCTGTGAAAACATGAAAATCCTAATCACACACTTATGGAAAGGTATGTGATAACAGTAGCCTGTATGAACTTAAACACAGCAGCCAAAGTTGCTCTCTGACTTTCTAATTACAAATCACAGAGGTTGGATGTGGGCAAAGAGGCAGTTAGCAAGCTGAGCACTTAACTCAGAGGTAGAGTGTGTGCTTAACATGCCAAAGCCCTGGGTTCAATCCCCAGAATAGTCCCTCTTTTTGGGTTCCAT